GTGTCACTTTAGTCCTCCTATATATGTGTAAAAATAAAGATTTCTTATCAACAAGCATTGAGAAAATATACACACACACAAATATATATATATATATATATATATATATATATATATATATATATATATATATATAAAAACTCACAAAGCGAACTGCTGGTTCCTATATCTATACATTTTATAACAATAAACGCTATCTCTTTCCGATATTAAGCATATTTCCCTTGTAAATACAGTATATGTGAGTTAAACATCAAATATGCATTGGAATACAAGATAATAAAATAACGAACAAATACGAAACTTATGTCAATCTAACATATTTCCCTTTTATTTAAGCGTCTTCAGAGTTTACAAGAGAAAAGAGACAAAAAAACAGAACTTTGGTATTTTCAATTTTATTTTGGTCAGTTCTCATTGGTCCGTCACGTACATTAAAACCATAGATAATTCTATATGTATGCAACATTCCGAAGATTCTTATAAGCGGGCATCGGATGTCAATGTGTATTCGTAATTGAGTATGTGTGTCTGTCCAGTGGCAGTTCTAACGTCTTTGCCTTTGTGCGGTCAGCCAGTGCAGTGGGATGTCACATCATTCTAACCTATGGTTGACCTCTTTAATCATGTATTTTCTGTATTAGATAGATATGTTAGATCCTTTAAGAATGGATTCAAAGAAAGATGGTAAGATAATGTAATGTTTTAGGTGTGTGTTTATAGTTGGTAATAATGTTATTATTAAGTTTGCGAAGTATTCTACATTTTCTACATTCATGAAATCAAAGTTATGTCCAGTTCCGTTTCAATGCAAACCGAGAGAGTTAGATCTTTTGTCCAAACGCAAATCTCTCTTGTATTCTAAGATGATGGCTTTTATATCAAGTGATGTATCCTCTTACATAAACATTTTTGCGTTGTAAGCAATTTATTTGATAAATCCTGACAGTTGAATTGGTGTTGGGTTTATTTCTCTTCCTAATTGTCTTGGACGCGTTGGTAATGATCTTAGTATTACGGATGACTAATTTGTTTACGAGTTTATTAGAAATTAGTTTATTAACATGTTGGAGGGCAGGATTATGAATTTTGTGTAATTTTATTAGAAGTGTTATTTGTGGTGTCTGCTTTTTGGCTCTCTGGATTTTGTAAGGTCGTTTTTTTTTTGATGATAAAATAATATGGATAGTGGAGACGGTTGAATGTTTTCTCAACATATATCTCTTCATCATTTAGGTATGCCGGGCTACATATCCTAATATCTCTTTTTTTTAAGCATTTCACTCCAAGCAAGGCGGGAAGCCACTAGGACGCAATGGGTTACAGAAAATATAGAGCGAGATCAGATAGGAGTGATAGAAGGGGTATGAGAAGAAGGGTAGTGGATAGATCAAGGCAACTGGAGATGTCGATTGACATTACACTTGAATAGCTGGAGATTATAGCTCTGAGGGAAACTGGAATAGGGAAGGGAGTTCCACAGGTGAGAGGTGCGAGACATGAAGCTATTAGAGTAGAAGAGACAGCTACATTTAGGAGTTTCGACAGTGAAGGGGTGAGAGCAGGATGCCAGCCTCGTGGGGCGCTTGAACTCATGAAGTCTGGGAACCAGCAATGCAGCTCCTCGAGCAATTACCATGAAAGTGTTTGTAGAACAGACAGAGGGAGCGACGGCGCGTCTGTGAGAAAGTGACTGTAGACGAGATGCCAGAGCAAGCCCAATTATGTTGCATATCCGCCTCTGGAGCCTATCAAGAACCCCGAGGCAAACAGAAGGGGCTCCAGACCATATATGGCAGCAATACCTCATGCAAGGGCAATTGTTGATTTGTAGAGGAGGATCGATTCCGGGAGAAAAATTTCCTGGCGCGGCACAGAGAGCCAACTTTCCTTGCAGTGGACGAAGCAATTGTCTGAATGTATTTGTTCCATCTCAGGCCAGCAGTCAACGTGAGACCGAGCAGCCGCAGAGAGTTTGCTCTCGAGAAGCTGAGCGTCAGACACTCGAATGGAGGGCAAGGAAGGATCTCTGTGGTGATTAATAGAACCCAAAGATTTATTAAATTCAAAACCAGAGATTCTAAACAAATGCAGATATAGAAGACCTTGGTTATTGGATTAGTCCTCGTCTCCCCGGATTATATAGTTGTTTAACCGTTTTTGTCTGTGTTTGTCTTTAAATCACCCCCTCCCTTTTAAGCCGTTCGAATAAATTTCTTCTCCACCCTCCCATTTGTTGTTGTTTTTTTTTTTTTTTTTTTTTTTTTGTTACGTGGTCTTGGTCTTTTTGGTTTATCGCCTTTATTTTTCTTTGCCTCTTTGACCAGCTTTCCCTGACGATCCGCTTAGGTGAAACCTTGGTAGGTTTGCCTGGCTCTCTAGGTTTGACTAGCTCTGCTCTACTTTTGTATAGAGCACTTTTTTAGTTCGCTGATTACTCGTATCGGGGTTTTTTCTTTGGGCTTTGGACCTGTATCCTGTACGAGTATTTTCGACAGAC